TATAACCTCACTGTGTCCAACACACTAAAGTAAGAGTAAGATCCTGACACCGTAGTAAATATTATCTGCTAAACCTCAGTGTGTCAGCATGATTATGAGCATGTAAACGCGCTGTGGCTACCATTTAGCTCAAAGCACCACTGTGTAGTGTTGCCAGCTTCATGTTTTTTTTTGCTAGATTTGGTAACTTTTAGGAGTGAGAGTGGATAGCATTACATGTATGGACTTACTGAGTATTTGTCAGTGACTGATTGTGTTCAGTGTGTGGGAATGTGCAAAAACAGTCACTGACTCTGTCCTCGTTGTTTGTCCAGGAAAACTACTACTACTTTGTTTTTGTTAAAAGTTAAATTTAACTTGTTGGACTTCATTTCATTTTATATTGAATTGTTTTATACTTTTGATATATGTTGATACAGTTGTTACACTGTCTTAATAGTGTGTAACATAAGCTAGCAATGTCTAGTGACTCTTGGAAAATGGTCAACAACTACAGTACCAATGTCATTAGAATGACTTGTCTTAATAGTTACGCCTCCATACCGGAGGCATTATGTTTTCGTGTTGTCCATCCGTCTGTACAGTTCATTATTGTGAACACATTTAAACAGTAGAAGCTATTCCATATTTTGCCTTATCAAAGATTCTAAAGGGTGTGTTGGTGTACTTGCTTTTGACAGTATGCACAGTATATTTGTCTGTAGTCACAGATGTATATCTGATGACATTGTGTGTCGTAGATATGTTGTTGCATGGTTGCCGGTGTTGTAGAATAGTATATTTTATCTGCGATATACAGTATAGTATAGCTTGTAGCATACCATTTTAAAAATTGTTCCTGTGTGCTTTGGTGTCCTAGTGTGCTAGATGGTATGGTGGCCTAAATTCACTGGTTAGATTTATTCTTCTCTGTCAAGGTGTTGATGAACCTATGTACCAAACACATCCCCTAAAAATGTAGCTGCTTCAGAACTGTGTGCAGAGCATGTGGAGAGCACAAGAAATTATGCAAAACGAAGTTGTTGCTTTTTATCTAAGTGAAGGAGTGGGGTAGAATGTAAACACAATTACTTTTCATATGCTATGATGATTGTATTTTTTTTAAATAAAAAGACAAGTTGGCATCCCATCTTTCCCAAATCGTTACCTTTGTTGCTCCATATCACAATAAATGGAAGACTGTAAACACAGGATGAAGTACAACAGTCAGTGCTGCAGTGACCTGTACAACAATTTCTACACCACAGGTGTATATAATAGCACTCTGGAGGTCACTGACTGTAATGTATAAATCCAGCTTTAGTATGGTTATGGTAAAAAACAAGACAGCTCTTGACTCAGCTGATTCTAGTGTTTGGTGCAATATTTTGTACTTTGGTGAGTGTATATCTTCAGAATATCAGAAAAATATGTTTTTTCCCCCTGGCAAGTGGCCATTACACCTGCAGGATAATACCTTTGTTGTAATACACAATAAGATACTCCAGAGAGGCAAACCTACCTCTGCTCAGTGTCAAGCACCGGTTAGGTTGTGTCTTGTTTTTATCTTTTCACATTTTTCAACAACTGCTTGGCTTGTTGTAGCTTATCCCTAATATGTGGGGAGTGCCTCCTTTTCGCTCCCTGTTGTATAACCTTTTCATTGACTGTATTGCCTATTGTTTCCATCTTACCATTGACTGGAAAGAAAAGGCACTTGATGCAATTATCTTACATAACTGGGATTCGTGTTTGCTGATATAATTTTGTGTTTAAGATGCTGAGTGAGCATCTTCAGTCGGAAAAGGTCAGGCACTTCATTAGCCGTGTTAGGGAGTCCAGTAGTACTGTTCAGAGTATGCAGAGCTATGGAGTTGGCTGTGAAAGGTTTGTGATTGCTTAACCCACTCTGTAGGTATTAGTGGAATGAGGATTCTCATACAGCCACCCTATTTCCATCTGGATGACTGAGCGTAAGCTGTGACTGCTTTAATTAAAGCCATTGTGCAACATTCTCTGTCCTTTCAGTTGTGTACCCTGTCATGAATTGTACATGGGGGATTCAATGTACCTGATAAAAAGCATCGGCACCCACAGAGGAATCTACCAGGCAGTGAGTCATGTTTTGAATCATGCGTGTAGTTGTGAATTTGTGAGTCAGCTGGCAAGGTGATGTTGGCTGATTCTTTTTAGTCATATGTGAATCACTGCTTAAGCTCAAGTTGAGCAGTCGCTGACTCAGTTACCCTCAGTGACAGGCAGCCTGCAGCGGTCCATTCAGCGACCCATGAATGGGCACAGCTCAGCAGAGGGAACATGTGGCGACTGATGTGGAGATGTTAGTGCAGTAACAGCAGTGGCGTCTGAAACAGTAAGCAGTGCCGTGCACAGTCACATGACATGTTCAGCCTCCCTCTAAATTGCCCGTTTGTGGGTTTTAGGATGTGTTAGTCTAAACCAGTGTGTAGGATAAAGATTGGTGTATCTTTTGAAAAGGGAAGAGATAAAGAGCCTTTGCTTCCATACAACAATCAGTGCTTTTAGTTTTGAGAACTCGGTGCAGGATTCAAACAAGGATGTTCAAACAGACTGTGACAGTGGTTCTGTATGCTCTGTTCAGTGTCTCGTGTTAGACTCAGATGTACATTTTATGCTGGCATTTATTCAGAACAAGGCAACATTATACTTCCCTGTTTCAGGCCCAACCACTGTTCATTTCTGTAGAGTTTGATGAGCATATTGTTATGAATGTTGCCTGCCACATGTTAACATTCCCCTTAAATGTGTGTATTACTATTATTATATGCTTTATTTAGTTTTACTTCATGTAACTCTAGTGTTAAATTTGGTGTGAAGGAGTGAAACTAAATTAATGGAACTTGATTGAATAAGAACTGCACACAGTCAATATCCAAATGATGCAGGCACCCCCTGAGAAAAACAAGTAAACAATAAAAGACTGGAATTAAACTTTTTTTTATAGGCAGTGTTAAATCCATTATTTATGCAGCTGTGGTCCAGACAAACATACTAATAAAAGACAGCTACTTAATTAAAATACAAAAAGTGAGTGGAGTGCCTTATTTCTGTAAAACATTGATGATTGGTGATTGATCACCTACTTTGGGATATGAAGCAAAAACAAAGGAAAGGAGCTGTCAACGATGTCCAAGTGAGGTTCATCTCCTGGCCAGTCATGATATTCTGCATAGACTAAAATGGAGGGAAACTGAGAATCCTCATAAAACAACAAGAGAAACAAGATGTAACATATACAGGTCTCCATATAACATCTCTGAATATGATGCAGTCCACTACACCACCTTGAACTGCCTTCAACAATGAACATATAATTGAATTGAAGCCTTTCTAAAAATGTAGAAATGTAGAAGCTTTATGAGCATCATAAAGATGGATGCTATGGCAGGGCTGTTGTAATAAATGACATTTAATTGCACAAATTTTTCTTATATTTGCAAACATTTCTAAATATGTTTTGACTTTGTCATAGAGTTGTTGAGTGTAGACTGATGGGCAAAATGGAAATTTTATCCATTTTAAATTAAATCTACAGCAAACTATATTGTACAATGAGCAGTTGGCTCTGAATACTTTCTGAAGCCACTGTATATCCATTTCACCAGTAAAAAGAAATTAATGGCTGACCACCAGTTTATGTTAAATTACTGATAATTTATGTAAATTGTTTAATAATAGAAAATCAACCTGATGGTCAGTGGTTAAAATGGAATTATATGGAATTGTGAATATCACAAAGGTACATACAGAAATGCATGGTGTTTGTCTGA